ACAAGAAAACAAATGAAAATGGTACTTACCAGGTTATGTTCTAGTGGTTGTAATTTTACTTAGGTACCTAATAATAATTTCTTTAGTTTATAGATGGGTATATGATAGTATGTATAGAAAGACATGATAAATATATTTAAATCTTTAGCATTTTCAACATTAGTAGGTAAGTACATAGTATAAAATTTTATACAATTGTCATAAATTATAATCTTTTAAACTCAAATAATTGGTGAAGGGGCCGGGTTAAAGAACAACCTCCACAGATTAATAGGTGTATGTACATCCAGAACTATTTTTTACAATAAGGCATAATCATTTTGAGAAACTATACGAAACAAATTTTCATAAAGCTGTTTTTTTTGTACACGAATCTAGAATAGATTAACAAGTTAAATCTCTCTCTGAATATATCGCAATTCTAATAAGGACAATGTTCCGCCGGTATTGATCGCAACCTACGGCATTCGTTCTTTGACGTTTCTTCAGTTAACCTCTAAGGAATTGATGTCTAGGTATCTTATCGAGTTTAACATTTGTACACGAATCTAGAATAGATTAGCAAGTTAAATCTTTGGCTAAATATATCGAAATCCTATTAAGAATGACGTAGTTTCCAAGTTCTGGGCCCTCTATTTTCGAAACTACCTCATGTAAAAAATTAAAAAATTCGTAATTAATGAAGTTACCAGAGGACGAAGAAAGAATAACTGTTAGTAATACTCGTGCATATTGTATAATATAAATGAGAGCAATTAACTAGATTTGTTCTGGTAAAAATTTTTACTTTGAAGTCGCACCGCTCCTTTTTGTGCATTTTAATGGTATCCTACAGAAAATGAAAAAGACTGTTTACATAACCGACGCACATTACATAATATGCGCCCACGTATTTAGGAACATTAATTTATTTAGGAGAATTCCTCTTACAACAGTTGCCGGGTCGTTTTCTTAGTTGTAGACACATTTTGTTGTAATCATCATTTATTGGCATCTTCAATAGGTTCCGTATCATGGTCGTTATCAGCAGCTAAAGATCTGTTAATCATGACGAAACGTCTGTAGTTAGAACCTCGTATTGATGTTTTAAATCGTTGATATCCTAAATACGTCTCAATGATCATCGATGACCACCTACAATTGTAGACATTCTATCTCTCTGGAACAGCATTTTTTATTCTGGATAAAAGGTACCCCATGTCCTTTTTTGTACCTCTGACAATGTGTCTACAAAATTTCATGATGATCGATTGAGTAGTTAATGTGTGAAATCGTCCATATAAAACGAATTTTTTTCTATCCATCGGGAACAGTATTTTTTCTAAGTAAAAGGCATCCTATGTGCTTTTGTGTACCCCTGGGGCAATGTGTATACCAAATTTCAGGATGTTCGGTTGACGATGCGTATTTATATTATCAGTTCAGATATAAAATACACGAATTAATTAATTCATTGATCTAATTAATTTTAAGTTAAAAACAGTAAACAATAAAACAATTTTATTAATAAACAACAATAGGATTTTATTCTAGACTATTTAAAAAAATTAATGTGTAACATTTTTCGGATATCTGATAGTAACGAAAAGAGTTATGTAAGCATTATATAAACATGTGCTTTATATTAATCCTTTTTTTACTTTTTTGTAGATACCTGCATGCTTCTGTTTTCGTTTTTTTTTTGTGGGTGTTTATCTTTTGTTCTATTTCACGATCAGTGGATAATACACTATTCTTCTTGCTCAACACGTTCGCCAAATAATAAATTTTATTATCGAAGAAACCTATTGATTTTCTTCTACGTGTATTCTCTATATATAATGGATATCATGTACTTCTAGCTGTCGGAATTTGTTCATTCTGGTGAAATAATTTTATCACTATCTCTGATCACAGAAAAAGCTGTAGAGTAAANCGGCAAGGCGTTATATGCCCCTTCCTTGCCCTAGAGGTCAACCTCATTGGGCCCAGAAGAGCTAGTGTGGCTACCCACTTACGGACCCTACCTGCACCTCACTCAAAATTCTAATCGGGTATTTATATAATTGTTAGACATTAATGTGAAATTGCTTTAACTTCCATTCACCACAGACTACCTTAAGATAACGAACGAACAAATATATTTTTTTTAAACTAATAGCAAAGTAGTGATGATGAAATTTCGGACGTTTCTACATTTGATAATATACATTTAAAAAAAAAGGGAACCAATAAAGGTAACATTTACTCTTTCATAAATACATGCTTCAACTATTCCATCCTATACCTACTTAAAGTGAAAAACCTATTCATCCATGAATAGCTGAACCCTAACATAAGTTTCATTTTTCTTGTCTGCTTGTAGCAGATACGGGGTTAAAAATGTCCCTTCAGGAGTATGTAAACGTCTTTCTTCCGTAGACGATCTCAAATATAAGAAAAATAAACATACAGATCGCTTTTATAGTTTCATAACATCAACTGGCAAAACCAACCGCTTTTTTTGAAATGACCTTTGTTTATTTTATTTTACCAGGGACCGTTGTATAAACTAGTTAGTAGAATAGTAACTTTTTCAAAATTCACTGTATTTACTTTTCTTTTATCTGTATTTATGAAACGCAAGAAAGAACAACATAGGTTTACACTCATCTACAGCACAGAGATTGAAACTCTTTCTCATCATCATAAGGTCGTCAGTCTTAAGATTGGTTGGACACGTACCTACACTCTTTCCTATCCTGAGCTAATCTAGCATTTCCCTAAAACTAGAACAACCCACATCCTTAACTATTTGCGAATAGTAATCTAATCTAGGTCTACCTCTACCCCTCCTAACTCCCGTTTCTGCCACTAATATGTCTCTGACTAGACCTTCATGCCTGAGAAGGTTTCTTACTAACCTATCTCGCCTATTTCTTATTGACTTCCATAGAGTCCTCTTCTCTCATATTCTTTCTAATATCTCTCATTTCTAACCTTCTCTATCCACGGTATCCTCATCATTCGCCTGTAACACCACATTTCGAACGCTTCTAACCTTTTCTTTTCTGGCGCGCCCACCGTCCATGTTTCGCACCCGTACAGCGCCGCACTCCAAACATACACCGTTAACAATATTTTTCAAATTTCCAAATTAACCGTTCGCGAGCATAGGAGTGACTTCTTTTTATTGACTTCCTAGATACCTACAATCAGCCACTTCTTCTAATCTTTCATCTCTTATCTTTACATTCGCTCTTTTTCTGCTTATTCTTCCCTTGCATACCGGTATGTTTGTTTTACTCTTATTTATTTTTATACAAATTTTACTAACGTACAATTTTTCACACATAATGCAAAATTGTTTTAATTATACAATTACTATTAAAAGACTAACCCTTTTCTATTTTAGTAAAATATTTGAAAACTGTACTAATTATTCATTTTCAGGAACTAGCTTACTCTTTTTTTTATATACAACTTCAAGTTGTCTGCGCGCAAAATTTATCGCGAGACAGATAGATAAATTGATAAGCTCTAACAATTTATTATTATGCTTTTGTGTACATTTGAATATTTACTTATTTAGATATCATCACTGTTAGAATTAATCTTTAACAAGCACTATTTTTTTTTTGAATTTTTAAATTGATTAACAACTTTAAAACACGTGTTAAATTTTTAATTGTCGTAAGAAATAATGATAATATATTTAAATATTGTTAAATATTATTAAATAAATGACTTCATCTTTTAACAGAATTTAAGGTCTCTACTTCGTTAGAACCTTCAAAACATTATGAAGGTTGCATCTACCATTGGCAGTCTGAATTCTACATTCACTTTTCAATTTTCATAAAAAATAAGTGATTATTTGCGAAATTTAACACCAATAACGTAAGACAGAAAGTAATAATTTGTTTGACAGCAATTCAAATGATTAAATAAAGTTGATCATAGAAACTACCGTACTAGTTGAATTGAAGATAATTACCTACTGATACCCTTGTTTTAATTATCTTTAATTCAAATGATTAAATTTAATGTGATAAATGAAATATATTGATGTAAATGGAGAGATTTTCGACAGTATTTCTGAAATCAGTTCAAAAATATATGATTTATGAATTTTTAAAAATACTGTTAATCATTCTCGCACATCCTGTAGTAATACTGAGCAGTGACAAATATGTTTGATAACTATTTCAACCCTGTATCTTTGTCAATTTCCAAGATAGTCTAATTTCGGTTTACGAATTAATTTTCAACGTTCTAGGGCAGAGTTTCTGTCATGTCCATGTCATGAGTAGGTATCAGGATAATCTACAAATTATTTCATTATTTATTAAGATAATAATTAAAATACCAACTGTTTGTTTCACTTTTCCTGCACTGAAACGGGCGCTCGGTTAGCACAAAATAATTCTACAATTCTATTCGAAAAGGGCCCGTAACATTTCTGGAGTTTTGAGTGGTCCACGACTACAAAAACTACCCCGCTGTAGAATATTAGTTTCTAAAATAGAAAAGAACAGTCAAATACCCAGTTATCTGGGAATGCTGTTACCACAGGGAGAGGTAAAAACAGCTTCAAATTATACTAAAAATCCCTTATATATTTTAGGGGAATAAATGTAGAAGTATTGATTTTTCCATCATTCAAATTTATTTATAAACTAAGTAGCAAACTTTTCAATTTAGTTTAGCAAAGAAATGTGTATGTAGTCTTTGTGTCCCTGTCGAAAAGTTTTATTATCGTAGCAAAGTTAAGTAATAATTTGGTAAGGTGATCGTCCTAATCGGGACTCATTAAAATATATTCCTTTAATTTTTCGAAGTAGGAAAGCTAGCGTCTTGTCGAACTACCGGCACAATTTTTCATTTAAAGAAATCCTTCGGATATAAATAGATTTTTATGTATAGTTATGTGCTAAAGAAGGGTTGACTAAATAAACTTTTTGCTCATTTTACATTTTAATTAACATTGCTAATGATTTGTCAATACATAACATAAATTAGTATAAATACACCTAAATAAATATTATAAAAAAACTTTATTGGGTACTTTTACAAATGCTTTACGTATTCTTTGACAAAGTTAACCAAACTGAAAATTTAACATAGGTATATAATTTAATCTGTTAATTACAGTAAAAAGTGGAATAAAAACTAACAGACTCTAATACTGTTGTCATATACATATAGGTACGTAAATTGAATAGGGAAACGTCAAAAATTGTATGTTTAAGTCATTTTTCAGCAAAAAAATCATGATTGATAAACTTGACATATTCAGGTTTTTCCAGTTCCGTTTCAGCAACTTTAATGTCATTTCTGATTTCTGCAATTAACTCATCTAATGAACTAAAATCCTTCATTTCCCGTATAAAACCCAAAATAACGGTTTTCAAAGTTTTCCCGTAAAAATCTTCCTCAAATAAATGTAAAATGTGGGTTTCCATAGACTTCTGCACGTTTTTATAGTAGGGATTCCAACCAACACTCATTACCATTTTATAAACAGGTCCGTTATTAACTGAAGCAAAACCGAAATACACCCCTGTACCTAACTCCTTCGGAAAATCCTTCACCACATCGTCAGGAAAATTTGCTGTGGGTATTCCCAATTCTTTAGATCCTCTTCCAAAACCTTTAATTACTTTCCCTTCTGAAAAATGTGGCAATCCCTGTATGAACATAATTTGGTAGTAAATCCGTTCTTAATACGTCACTGTCTTGTTATAAACTTTTTTGAATACGATCCTGCGTCGAAACAGCTGGCAGAGATCCAGAACGAGGTCTTGAACCGGCGCACTACGCGTTGTCAGCGAACGTAAAATTTTAGAAAGTTAGCTATTAAAAATATAAACAATTGTGCGAAATATTTATAAGGAAGCTATCATGTTGGACGTTCCAAAAGACGAAAACAGAGTAAGTGAACTGAAAACAATTTTTAGTAGTTATCTATGTAGTAAAAACTTTATCAGAACAGTAACTGTTATCGACGACCTTTGTGACCGCAAATAACTGAGGTGGCGGCGTGACTACTTTTTAAAACAAAAAAAATTAAAGTACTAATGTAATGGAAACTGCAAGTAATAAAATGTTACTAATTATTTTACATGATTTACAATGTTACTATTAGACAAACGATATTACGTTTTCTTATTGCAAACAATTAAATTAATAGGCAAACAACAACGACATTTCATTTAGACTTATGAGATACTACTTTTACAATTATTTTTTGAATTATAAAATTTTCCCGGGTGAATTAAATTAACAATTTTGTAAAAGATAATCCTTGCACACTGGCGCTTTAAATGTGTATGCAACTTTCATTCTCTACGCCTTGCATGCTCGGTAGTCTATACTCAGATGGACATTTCAATAAATTTTGAATGCCAATGTTTGGTGTGCTATTTAATTTTTTTTTCAATCTAATCTAATTGTGTGATAATAACAGAAAGTAATATAAAAATAACATAAATTAAAGCACATTTTTAGTTTTATGTTTTCTTTTTACAATTAATTTTTTTTTCCTTAATTTTCCGTAGTACTACTAACTAATATACTTAATACTGCAATTAAGGGGATGCTTAAAAGAGTTAAAACGTTTCAGTTTAATTTGCATCACCATAATAGACTTATCATAAAAAAAGCGTAGAAGTACGAAGCCAATCGTTCTGAATTAATCTTGTTGTTTAAATAATACTGTGGTTATTTACCCTAGTTAGTTACCATTTTAATTTTAGAACTTGATATTTCAGTGTCGATATTTTTTGTATTGTCTTTGTCGCAAGCAGTAGAATTATTTTTGTCGTTAAAGTAATTCCGGTAAGATCCGCAAATTGCACATAAAAATTCGAATGTACTCTTAATGTTCGTGTAATTCAATAGAATACTTGAAGTTGATGCAAATGTTACGCCCACAGTCGGCTTTTCTAAGAATACAAACTTTACTATTGAATCTTGATACTTGAGTAGATAATACATACATGTAATTCCTTTTGATAAGACATGCTATTTCACCAGAAAAACAAAGAAATTTTTTATTGCCTGATGTTTCTTCTGTTGAAATTACTATAAAATTTGGTAAAAATCTCGGTCGCTATTTTGAACAAAAATATACATATATTATAAATTGTTAATGAGAACTAATCGAACCAAACGTAATCTAACCTAATTCTAACGTAAGCTAATGCATTTAATGATTTGATAGCTGACGATTACAATGTTACGATAGGCAAAGACAGCACGAACGAAGTGTGTTTACAACAAAGTACACCTACAAGTAAAAATAAGAAAGTTTTACAGTAGCATACAGCTATGTGTTTTAGCGATTGTTTTTAACATATTTTGTTTAAAAATAATCGCTTTTAATTTCATCTTACCTAAAATGCGTCTCAATTAAAATCCTAATTAAAAATGACACCTCGGCTGTCGAAAGAATTCCTAGATTATGGGTTTGAGTATTTTATGTAATCTCTTAACCTTATTATATAACTACTAAATAATAACAGTATTAAACCACATTTATTTTGAAAACAATTGGGATTTTTTCTGATAAGTGCATGGTTACTTGCTAATTTTGTAAGAAATTATTCGTTACCTGAATATACATAGGGAATGTATTTTACATTTTAAATATATTCGAAGCATGTAATAGCTGTTATTATGTACCTAAAGTATAATTGACATTTTCTGTAGAACGAATACCAGTGATTGTTCTATTAATGGTATTTATGTAAATAATTGAGTACTTCGTTTATAGCGCTTTTTGTTTACTTTGCAAAACCTTTGAAACTGTATTTGAGATTTGAGATTCCGTATCTCCGTTTTTGTTTTGGAACCTAAAGCGAGTACGACGCGGTGACGTTATTACCAAAGCTGTACTGCTTAAAGGTCATGACAATTCAATTTTGTTATCATTTTTTGATAAAAATACAAGAAACGTCAGATAAAACAGTATTTAAACCGTTTTTGTCGTAGTAGTGAACATACTATAAACTATACCGTTTAATTCAAAATTCAAGTGGTGAATAAACAAACTTTAAAAGGGTTACTAACAATGGATGAATTACTTAAAAAGGTACTATTGTTATCTTATTTTTACTTTGTCTGGCATCACACACTGGCTTATCTACTTGCTTTCTCATACAATATCTTTCTTCTATTAGTAAACAATAAATTACGCTTAGCCATCTTTTCTTGGGGTGCTTCAAAAATTATTTTTTCGTACGCACAGGTTTAATACTAACTTGTAAATACTTAATATGAGAAGAACTCTCGTCCAAGCAGAGCTTCTAATATTGATATTTACTGATGGCTTATTGGACATTTCACTAGTTTTTCGTAAGAAAACCATGAAAAGAATACCTCACTATTGAAAAGACCATACAATTTTCTATCATAGATTTAGGATGAAGTTTTTTCGTTTATCAGTAGAACAAAATACAAAAGTGGCTTTTCCGAAAAAACAATATCGCTGTTCCATTTTCAGTAAAAAATCAGGGGAACAGTGTCAGGAGTTTTCTCCGTTTTCTTCGGTTTGACTTTATAAGTTTACTAGCGGAAGAAAAATGTATGGCATAATTCTTAATGTTTTATTGTAACATCTTTTTTTTTTTTTTAAATAATAATAACAATGAAATTCCTAAACTTTGAAAGTTAATAAATCTTGACGAAGAAGATGCGTGGGAACTTCTTTACGGAATACTTTTTGGCATTTTCAATGGACTTGGTCCCGCTGGTAAAACTTTTTATTCAGGAGATACCTAATATAGTACACTCTTCCATAATTTTCTTAAGAGAAAGTAAAAAGCCCAAGATCAGTAAATAACAATATTATTAGCTCCCCTGCGGTAAAAGCTCATTTCAACAACTAAAACAAAAAGGAAATCTTGATTTTTTCAATATTAATTTAGTAACGTATTTTAGTATTGCTTTTTGGATAACATTCATTGAGTTAATCGTGAAACTAGTTAAAGTTTTATGTCTGATATTTTCGTGTTTAAAGGGAGACAATTTCTCTTGATATATTATGTTTCTGTTTTCAACTTGCAGCTTGAGGGTAACAGTCCCTAAATATATTTTATTTTTTTAAAAAGTCCTGTTTGTGGCTGACACACCCACGCGAAATAAAAATAAATTTCCACTAAAAACTTTAATTACTGAGCATTTCCGGCTTGGTATCATACAGAAAGTTAAATTATTTCTTTCAGGTTTGCATAATTTTTATTGTTTAATGCAGATAATTAAATACATATAAATAAAGATATTTTATTACTTTTAATAGGTACTACTAAATGAACAAAGTTGTTCTTTAGAAATCGCTATTTTTGTGGCAAGCCTGCCCATTTGCTCTAAACTTAAAATTTCCACAATAACAAAAATGAGATAGGGACTTGAAGTTTAAATACTTACAATAGCATATAATATGTGAAGTTTTTGGGCCAAAAACTAAAATCAACAATACTATTTTCATTTATTGTTGTCAATCCGTAGGTACAATAATAACTATTTTACAAATAGAATTTTCAGCTTCATCGCAAAATGTATGTACACTATAGATAAGTACTTGATATCTACATATTACGTAGGATTATCACTATGACTTGAATAAATTTGACGTATATTAGGTAATATACCTAACTCTAAAGTAAAAAATTGCTTTTCAAACTAGGAAATGCAATACTTATCTATCTTTAATTGAAACGTTTTTTATAGATTCGAATAGAAGTTGTTGTTTAAATTATCTTTAAAAACAGTATTTATATTTATTACTTAAGATAGGAGATTTTACGTGATACCTGCTCGAATGTCAACAATTTACTCATTTAAAAGATTTTGAAAAGCAAAGTATCCCCTGTGAGTATGTCTATGGCAGCATTTTTTCAATTCAATAGAACTTTCTTTATCAACAAACAACAATAAAAGTGTAATACGTTAAAAAATATCCTTTAAATGTCCTTTCTGAATATAAAACTGCTCCAGCTGTATCTTTTAGCTTTCATAATTGATTATTTGTTTAAACATTTTGACAAAAGGTAGCACTAAAACTTGAAAAAAATATGTTATGTTATTAAACATTGAGGTATATTTCCTAATAATTTTTAATTTGTCTCATCGACGCGTAAAACTCTTTCGTTTTAATTACATAATTAGAGAAAAAA